CCCCCAAAAAAAAAAAAAAAAAAAAAAGCCATGAAACGGAGACCGGAACAAGGAAAAGAGGTTAGTGGGTTAAGTGGTGTGTGTTTCCTGCGTTTGCAAAGGTGCCTATAGTGAGAAGGGCGGCTGTAATTCGGCCATTAGTTACAGATGGTGGCTGGAGGCTTGAGATTCATGCAGTGAGATGAGAGCTCTTGTATCTCTTTCCAGTGATGCCGACTCTAAACTGCTTTGAAAACCTGAATCAAGATGGCATAAAAAATAGTGGATTTGATACTTAGCGATGCTACCAGCTGGTTCCTTTATGTATTTTGATGCAGAAATGCCTAGAAATGTGAACAAAAAGGAGTTAATTTGCCAAATGAGGTTTCTGTCCCCCAGTCCTTGCAAAAATGGCATTGGTGGCAAGTAGGTAAAGAACATTCAGGAGGATTTATAAGCAAATTAGATTTTTCAAAACTTTGCTCTTTGAAGCAATTTGTGTACAACTTCTGGTGAAGGTTATGTCTCTCAAGCGGTGAAGGAGGGCATTAAACAGATCAGCCCGGGGATTGGCAGTGGCATAAGAAGTATTTTTGAACAGCATAACTTTTAATGTTTTTTCATTCCTTAACTCTGAAAGCTTTCATTCCAGTTGTATGAATAGCAAACTGAAACCTGGAGATACGCATTTTTCAGCAGAAACCTAGTTATAGTTACTTCATGAGACAAATCCCAGTATTATAAATGCAGAAACTTAATTGGTAGAAACAGTATTGTACATGCAGTTAACCTCTGCAAATTAAGACGTGAAAAATACTGTTTCAGACTGATTCATTTTTGTCCTTCACTCTGCTTACAGGTACTGTTTGATGAGTGTGAAAGGATGCTTCACTGATTTTCATATTGATTTTGGTGGCACATCAGTGTGGTATCACGTTTTCCGTGGGGGGAAGGTAGGTGAACCTTGTTTGATATTTGTTTTTGTTTCTCTGTGCCTCTTATGGAGGGGAAGGGTTGCTTTCTTTTATTTTTCTTTTTTTTCTGTTTTTTTTTTGGGGGGGTGGGGAGGGTGTGATAGTCAGTGATCAGTCTGTTTCAGCTAGCTTTGTTGATATTCACGGAGTTTGCTGAACTAGAAGAACACCATTCACCTTTATGAAACAAACCAGTGATTTATTCGAAGTATCAAATGTATTATTGGCTGTTGGTAGTGCTTTTAAGCTTGCTTTTGCTGTATGGCTTAGAGGTGTCTTGCAGTGAGTATGTGGCTGTGTGTATCCTTGTTGGGTCAGGGTGCCCTCACAATTCTCCTGCTGTAGCTAGAGCTTCTGTTTCCTTTTAGAGATTCCGTGTTCCTTTAGTGTGTAGTGCATACTATGGCCGAACTGAAATATTACGGAAGTGTTAAAATATACAGCATGTATGGCTACATTCACATCTTTGCTGGTTTAGGTTGCTTTTCCAAATTCTACTGTAGACCAGGGTATGGTAGGAACTGAAATAAATACAGGAGATTGAACATCTCTGTGGTACAGATGCTGTTCATCTGTATAACCCAATGAAGTTGTACTATACTAACGCACTGTTTTGAACTGAAAGTAAACTGTGCAGACTTCTTTTGAGTAAGATGTTTCATGGAAGGGAGATGACAACTGGCAGTTATCTTACCACTTCCAGCACATGGACTAATTGCTGCTGCTGTCTGCTGTGTGCCTCTGTGTACGACACCTGGAAAACATGTGTTCTGTGCAGAAAGCAGGCTTGGTTTTGCATGTTCATTTGTCTAACACGTGATAACCTTGTTGGAATCTCCCGGCTATTTATTTTTGTTGACTGTTGGTAATAGTTAAATCTTTGTTTCATTTTTAGATCTTCTGGCTGATTCCGCCTACTCTGCAGAATCTAGAACTTTATGAAGAATGGGTTCTCTCGGGAAAGCAAAGTGATATCTTTCTGGGAGACAGGGTGGAACGATGCCAAAGAATTGAGCTGAAACAAGGCTATACGTTCTTCATTCCTTCAGGTATCACTTGTTAACTAACTGTTTTTGGAATCACTGGAATTGCGTTTGGCTAACAGTTCTCTGTAAAACAATTCTTCACCTCTAAACCCTGTATTGACCTTTTTGTTTTCTGTGGCAAAAGAAAGGTTAGGGACTGAATGCACTGAATTTTCCAGAAATTGAGCCATCCAGACTGATGAAAAATGTACTGTGAGGAAGTGTGTGCAGTGATCACTTGTCCTGTACCGGGGAAAAGGAGAGAGAGGACTTGGGTCTCTGGGGCTGTCAGTCCACCACTTGTGGTGGTGTCATACTGACTTTTGCTATTGTTAGCTTTCTTGAAAAAATATTTTTGTGATTTCTTCTGGCAGGTTTCACCTGCAGTTCTGTAACCTACTTCTTTGCTTCTGTCTATAGCCAGAGGTAGGTCTCAATTCACTGATGGAGCTCAGTAGAGATTCCGGTACTTGGAAGAGCAGGTGCTGTGTCCCTCAGGGTTGCTTCCTGGGGAAACAACTTTATTTTATTGTCATAACTCTTCAGAATTTCTGCTGATGGAGATTGTGCTGAATCTGGACATCTTCCAGTAGCCCAGCCACACTTAATTTTTACACTACTGCCCACCTCAGTAGCTGTGTTGCATGATTCAGGCTGCTCTTGCCAAGCAACCAAATAGTTGCTGCCTTGAAGGCTGGTGGCTTCAGCCCTTTCTGCTCCTGCCTAAATTGAATTAAGGATCGTGCAGTCTGTAACACTGCTCATTTAAGATGATATCAGGCTTTGCTTTCTTTGACTATTACGGGACCATAAGTTTGTTTATAATGATGTAACACATTGCCTCTGTCTAGTGGATCTTAACAGGGAAATAAATATGGGTAGCCTTTCTATGTGGCAGAAAGACAAGTTAGTTTTTCAGCTCTAGAATTAGTCTATGGAGATAGGATTATTATTTAATCCTGGAGACAGAGAGAATGCAGATCATGCGAAGACAGTGACAATGTGCTCGCCAACTAGGGAGTGTTGTTAGTATCAGTTGAAGGCCACAAATTTGCACATTTGTAAGTATTTGGTAAGAATCAGTCTGGGAGGTGACAGGCAAAATGACTGTGAGGGCGGAGGAGTTAATCCATTAAAGGAATTAGGTCTTCCCTTGAAACAGGTCAGAATGTGTTGTTAGTGTTTGAACTGGGTGTTTGAGTGTGCCTGTGCTGTTTGCTTAGATCCCGTTACTGCATCTTTGTATTTATCTTCGTTCCCCTGTGAACAGCCTCCTACGAATAAGACTTTCTGTATATTAGTTTAGTCATGCTCAGCAGTTGGAATACAGCAAGTTGTGGGAGCTTGTACAGGGCACAACTGCAACATGGTGGCTGAAGTGAAGTGATTCCAAATGTGGTTTTTGACTGTATTTTCTGTTTTCTTAGGAAAGCCGAAAGTACAGAAATGCCAATACCTCAGACATTTTAGGCTCTGTGCCATATTTGAAAGGCATATATGAATAATTTCTCTGTAAGCACCTCATGGCTTCAAGGCTTTTTGCTCTGCTCTATTTTGTTCGGAAAACTTACTTGCAAATCTCTTATTTTTGTGAAAGGGTATTATTTCTATGTTTGTTTTAAGGGTATGGAAATGCCTAATTAAAGGTTGTTCCAGGTCAGTGAATTGAGCATAGCTGTGTAAAACAGGTCAGTTCCTACGACCTCTTTGCTCTGATTTGCGTGTGTGTCACATTAGTTAATGTTTGAATGTGTTTTGTATGTACTTTATAAGTGCTCATAGTGTTTAGGTTCTGATAATGGGTGCCTGTAAAACCAGTGTGTCCCATACTTTCAATTAAGTCTGATAAACTCTTGACCAGCCTGAACTCATCCACGAGGAAAATGCCGCCTTATTACAGGACTGGTCACAGACAGTGTACAGGGATATAGTTAGTGCTCAGCTGGACTGTGGATGGAGAACATTCCAGCAAAGGACCTTTTCCATAAAATATCCTGCTCTGCTCTGCTCTCTTTTCAAGTAATTTTTGGGGGTGGTCCTAGAAATGCTATTATGCCATAGCAGTGTAAGGATGAAGTAGGTAGAGAAGACTGTAACAAGACATGTGAGGAGTGAGATCATAGGCTCGTGGGAGATGGAAGGTTTCTCTGAGAATCTAGGATCAGCAGATGGTAGTAGATCCAGTAAATCCCTGAAACTACAAACCACTTGGACAAGAATGGGAGTTATTCTTACAGAAGGCATAATTATAGTGCTCACCAGGGCCTCAGGGTATTTTCCTCTCCGTCACTGCCATCATCCTTTTAAGATTAACTTTAAGCCAGTTAATTTCTACCTGTGCTTCAAACCCCGCAAAGCTCTGAGAGGCATGATCACAGCTGTGGTATCAAGGAGAAATCGAGCAAAGTATTGTCAGTATAGTGAGTCCTTATGGGCCAAGGTGCATCTTGCAGCATTTTAGGAGTCCCTCCCAAGTATGGAGTGAGGGGAGGTAAGTTGTGATTCTGAGCGATACTGTGTCTGGGGCCTTGTGCAGGAGCAAAGCGATACTCCTGATGGCCCCATAGGACTTCTGCAAACAAGTAGTGCACTGTTACAAGTTCTCACTTCCCACTTTACTGGTTCCCACTGATGAGTCAAGGATGACCAACTCTGGTAAAGTCTGTGGTAAAGTGATCAGATCAGTTGGGAGCCTAGCCTTTTCCATTAATATAATTGTATAAACTGATGTCAGCATAATTGTTGATTGAGAAATATACCACATTGTAACATGCTGAGGTTTATTGTCAGATGTAGATTCAAGATGTTAAAACAGCGGAAGGTTCAAGAGGGGTGGAAGCTATAGTTGCTACCAGTGTTGGCGAATGATTATTTTTTTCTGTAGCAATCTGACTGTTGTTTTCCCAGGATGGGAGAGAACTTGCCCTTATACAGGAAGACATTAGTAAAGAATGCTATGGCCCTAGGGTGTTTGCACTGTGTGTGTTGCCATGAGCAATGTTTTAATCTTTCATGTGGTTAAGTGCTCAACACAGATGAAATTTGGTCAAGGTAACACATTTTACTCTGGTGTAGTGGTCAGTGGATGCTGCACATCTGACCCACATGCCAAATGGAAGGGAAATTCTTTATAAAGTGTGCTTCTCTTTTCAGATATAAACTGTGATGATCTCGAAGAGGAAAAGCATAATCTCAGTGATCAGTTATTGCCTCAGTAGGGAAAAACCAAAATTTTATCAGTCACAATCAAATCTAGAGCTTGTCCAGTATTATTTGCACTGTAGCTTTCTTGTGTACTGTGCGTGTGTCCAGTGATGACTTCCAGGGAGGGCGAGTCAAGTGTTTGGAGTCCATTGTGGTGAAATTACAGAGAAGTAGTTTAGAGATACCTCATCACTGTGCTAGGGACACACAGAACCAGTGTTTGGGCAGCATCCCTCAGATTTTTACAGCTCAGGGTTACTGTAGGCTTGTGTTTCTGGCTTGTATGCAGCCACTTGTTCTGTTACGTCCTGATTTCTCCCCTACAGCCTGTTTGAAATACTGCTCACTAAGTTAATGCCAATGTGTTTCCCAGTTTTTTAATATCTTTAGTGCTTCTCCTTTTACTTTAAGTATTTTTCTCCTTTTACATCACTGTGTAACTTCACCAGAACCTTTTCTTTCTCCTCCTCTTGCCCTTCACCTGACACTCCAGTGTTTATACTCTGTAAACCATCTTTTACTTCTATCCTTTCACTTGTTCTTTTTCAAGTGGCGCATTATGCATCGAATTCCCTTCCTTCTCGATTCTACGAACACCACATTAGTTTCTCTTGTGTACTCCTAAATGTCACTGTTGCTACCTAAACCCGAGCTCAAAACTAAGCATACACAAAATGAAAAATTCATCCTTTTTCAATCCACTTGCTCTTTTGAGTCTTTTAGTCTTGCTGAATATGTCATTTTGATTGTAAGTGATGGAGCTCTGACATGGATATTGTCCTTCTCCTTCCCTGTTGTCCTCTACAAACAAGGTCTTGCAGTAGTTTGAAATATGTTGAGCTTGTTTGCTTGTTTTCTCAGTTTCCTGCCAGACCTCTCTTTCAGAAAAATGACCTTTTCTTTCATGCATGTGTGTATGTGCTTGCTGTAGACGCTTGCACTTCAAATTCAGGAGAGTCTGTACGTGCAAAATCAGGACATGCAAAAGCAAGCCACCTGGTAGTCTCTTTTGGAAAATTTTTCTTGCAGTATTTGTCTCTGTTAATATTGTGAAGTAAGAGTGTAATCGTTATGTGTCTTGAAAAGACAAACTCGAGCCAGTTCTGGATTGTTACTGATAATATAGTCTGCCAGAATATGCATAAACTTGGATTTTCTTCTCTTTTTGTGAAGGCCGATATTGCTGACCTCCAAGGAAGTTGCCACACTCACTGTGCATACAATTTGTTTCCAGGGTTTACAGTGTGATTGGTCTAAGAAAGTTTGCAAACATACTGGTTTTGGTTCCTTCGGGAGGAGATGACTAATACTACCAAGGGTTACTCTGCTCATCCTCTGTTTCTTACACTGTTTTTCTGAGCCTCTGCTGCTGGTCAGAGGCAGTAGACTCATGAGCAGGTATGTTTTTGGGTTGACTTGTATGAGTCTTCTTACTGTAGGCTTTCAAAATGTGTAGCTTTAATGTGAGTATGTTGAAGAGATGAGATGTTGTGATGTGTGTGAACTGGTAGTTGAGAGTGCTGTGTTTTTTGGGGAGCACAAATCCTCAAGTAGCTGGGCTGTTTTGACTGACTTTTGTCTAGACTTTAAGTCTGACAGTAATGGTCTCAGTAATAGACCACCACATGGTCCATGAAATAATGGTCCAAGAAGTCACTGTGCTTTTATTATTTCTGAAAATTGAATAATGGACTGCCATTAGATATTGTAGGAGGCTTTTGCAGTGCTAATTTATTAGATATTCCTATGATCAAAATGACAGGGTATCTTACTGTCAACTGGACATGATATTCCTTTCTGGTTCCTCTTCAAACTTCTTA